ATTCCCAAATCATTTCGGTGATGATGAAAAAACATGTAAGCTTTGACCACACAGGAATACAATGAATATATATAAAGACACCATCACTGCTCTCACTGCAGTGTCTGAGCATCAGAGCGTAAGAAGGAAGAGGCTCAGAACGATAACCTGGAGACAAGACAACTTGGTAAAATAGCAAAGTCTTTGCAGTTTGGCTTTGAATGTTTTACTCTTCTATCTGTCATCTTAAATAGACATCCATCCACCTTCCACCCGCTTTTCCTATCTAGGGTAGTGATGCGATGTTACAAGGTCTGACTCATGGCTGGAATTCACAGAAAACACGCAGTTTGCTTGGGAACCTCTCGTTCATTTGGACTTTCTGTGTGTTCACTCTTCTTCTTTCTAGGATTCTGACTCGTGTTCCTGTAGCAGATGAAAACCTCTTCTGTTCAATATTGCCCTAGAAGGACACCAGTGAGGGAAGAAACATTCTAAGTGGATATCAGTGTATTGAAGTTGTAACAATATATAGACAAAGAGCATATGAAAATATATTTTAAATTAATGATGTTTTTTTTCTTTTTTTCCAGACCATCCAGATATATTTTATTGAAAATGGAAACATCCTCTGTTGCTTACATTACCCTTATGGCACTAAATGAATCTAAAACAAACAAATACGTGATATTTGCCTTTTCTCTTCAAGGTTATGTTTTCACTCTCTTCCTAAATCTAACTATAATTATTACGATCTTGCTGGAGAAGGACCTACATCAGCCGATGTACATTTTCCTCTGTAACTTGTGTATAAATGGGTTGTTCGGCACAGTGGGGTTTTACCCTAAATTTCTGTCTGACTTACTCTCTGACACTTATTTGATTTCCTACAGTGGATGTTTACTTCAGACCTTTGTCATCTTCTCATATGCATTATGTGAATTTACCAATTTAACAGTGATGGCAATTGACAGGTACGTAGCAATATGCAGGCCTTTGCATTACAGTACTGTAATGACACCTGTTACTATATGCAAGCTGTTGATTGTTATTTGGATGGTTCCATTCTTCTCCATTCTGTGTTCCATTATCCTGAATATTACTCTCCCCTATTGTGGGTTGTACGTCAGCACTCTGTATTGTAAAATAACTATTTCAACCTGCAAACATGATAGTGTGAGATTTGCATTCAATGGGACATTTGGAAGTATATATTTATTAATGGCGATATTTGTCATCTATTCCTATGGTAAAATAATTTCTGCTTGCAGGAAATCGAAAGAAAACCAGTCTAAATTCATGCAAACTTGTCTTCCCCATTTAATAAGCTGCATTAATTATGTTTTCATCACCTTCCTTGATGGATTTAGTGGTAAAAACATTCCACAGTGGTTTAGCAGCTTTATTTCTGTGGCGTTTTTAATCAGTCCTCCTATTATTAATCCCCTTATTTACGGCATCAACCTGAAATCTATACGCAGAAAAATTTGTAAATGCTCTAAGAGAGGGTAAGTTTTGGAGTGTGGCTTCACATTTTGAATAATGCATGTTTTATCTGACTTGATTTCCTAGGTAGATGTGTTCTTTATGTATTCTTATTAAAGTTAGCTACATTCATTAAAGTATCTTATTTAAAGTATGTTGAATTTAATAACAAGTAATTAATTGTTAACATACTGCTTTGAATATGTTTAACTGAATGTATGTTAATTTATCTTAATCATTTGCACATGTAGTATATCTATACAATTTGAGCTGAAGGTGGTTATTAATGTTGCCTTTAAGAAGATGTTAAATAGACGTTTGTACCCCAGGTGGCAGTTTGTGTCGTCTGATTGGTTAACCGGCGCTGATTATAATAGAGAGTTAGAGCTCACAGCCGTATCACAGCAGCATTTTCCCAAGCAGCTAGTGATGAGAGATGCTTCTGTCTTTTTAACAGTGGTTTGAGACACAGATTTGCAGTGTCTATAGGGAGCTGCACTGTGTGAGCTGCAATGATCGGTGTGCTGTGCTGGACAGGCTAACGAGAGGCGACAAAAATGTGTCAATGAGACATGCATCTTATCAGTTTCTATTTGTCTAATGTTTAAAAGTGTCATCAGTAAATGTCCATTATAGCAGTTTTAAATTAAATTATTTCTGGCTTGTTTCTAACATATTATGGTTGTTATAGTACACAAAATTTAAAAAATAGAATGACCTCTTTCTGAAGTTAACATGCTTCTAGCTAAAATATGTAATGTTTAAATTCTTGTGTATGTGTTTATGTATCAGCTAGTATGTGGAAAATGTGTACAAATGTATACAGTCTATATGTGTGTTTGTGTGTTTATCATGAAACACAGGAATTATATTACAGATACAACAATAACATGTCAAGACAGAAAATAAAAGCCATTGTTATACAGTATATAGAAAAAAAACTGTGGTCGAGATGAAATGCAAATAGAAGCTTTACTTCCCTGTTTGCAAATGGAAATTTTGTCTAAATGGCTCCAATAAAGCAGCCTCCATCTAAAACCCTTTTGTATCAGTTTATGATATTGCTCTTAAAACTAAAATCTGAACATTATTTATCAAATGGCTCTAAAAACAGAAGCCTGACAACCAGTGAAATTGCACTTAATAGCTGGAAAAATGCTTATTTTACATAATTAGTCTTAAACAAAATAAACATTGCAAAATAAGGATGTTTTTAACCTGTGAGCTGTTTGTCAATGGTTTGTGATGAAATGAACCAAGTAACAATGATTCTTTGTCATTCCCCTACATCAAATTCCTAAGTGAATTTGTTTGATTTTAGCTGTGGATTCTGGGAGTCTGAGCAAACTGGGGTTCTTACGTTGCAATTTTAATACACAATAAAAGTATACTGATATAAAGGGAATTGCGTCATCCTTTAATTCATTTTAAAAATATATGAATATACCTTAAAATTTTGATATATTGCCCTGCCCTATGGGGGGGTGGCTCAGATGATCCATAGCCATGCCCCTGAGAGTGATGTGTCGATCAGCTTGTTTTACAATGAACACCTTTATTGAAAAATACATTTGAAATTAAATAAAAGATGGTGCCCTTAGTGAGTGGTGCTGGGGGGACATGCCCTCTTGCTCCCAAGAAGACAGAATTTCCAAGAGAACATTGCCCAGAGCATCACACTGCCTCCGCCAGCCTGCCTTCTTCTCATAGTGCATCCTGGTTCCATCTCTTCCCCAGTTAAATGACGCATATGCACCCAACCGTCCACTTGATGTAACAGAGCACAAGTCTCATCAGTCCAGGCCACCTTCTTCCATTGCTCCATGGTCCAGTTCTGATGCTCACCTGCCCATTGCAGGTGTTTTAGCAGTGGACAGGGGTTGGCATGGGCACTCTGACTGGTCTGCGACTATGCAGCCCCATATGCTGCAAGGTGAAATGCACTGGGTGTTCTGACCCCTTTCTATCATAGACAACATTAACTTTTTCAGGAACTTGTGCTACAGTAGCTCTTTGTGATCGGACCAGACAGCTAGCCCCATGCACATCAGTGAGCCATGGGCGCCCATGACCTTGTTGATGGTTTACCAGTTAGCCTTCCTTGGTACTGACCACAGCATACCAGCAGTACCCGACAAGACCTACTGTTACCTACCACTAGGGAGTTGGGTGGAAGCAAAAATGTGGACCGTCTGTGGGTCTCCAAGGACCGGTTTGGGAAACACTGGTCTAAATGTATTTCTACCTAGAGTTGATGTTTATTCCAGGCAATAGATTCTCATGTGCTTAATATACTAATTGTATTAATGATAGCAAATGAGAGGTGGTCATACACAAAGCATTGCATTACAGTACGTTAGTGACACCTGTGACAGAAAACTTCTTCATTTGTATCTTTCCTTGTCATTCAGTTGTGTTTTAACATGTACTGACAATTACGCCACTGGAATAACCCTTTTCTTCTGCCAGATGCAAATGAAGAACGAAAGCGATGTTTCCATTAATGGCGAGTTTAGACGTGTCTTGGAAAGTGGCTTAGTTTTTAAGCGCAAAAATGCCTTCATAAACCCACCCACTGACAAACCAATGGGAGAGAAGCAGAAAATTATATAATAAGCTGTACAAAGCTGAGAAGCATACATTAATGTTCTCACAACGGCGAGTGTCTAGATATGCTGAGGCAAATATTGGAATGTTTACAGTGACACTGTACATATTCAGTAGGGTTTGTATTCATAAATTGGCAAACAAATTAGGAAAAGTGCAGTGTTACTTACAGAACACACTGAATATGACTAGATGATGACTTATCTGTATACAAGTTAAAACTGGGCTCTTTAAATTTAGTTCTGAATTCCAAATCCAGGCCTTGTTTTCACTTCTCCCAGGTAGTTAGTTTAATAATTGCTGATTCTGATTGGCCAGAGCCTTGACACCTGGCTCACAGGTAAAGGAAGGCTGGAATCATGCTCCTCAAGAGCCTTGCCCGGCTCTTGAGTAGCATGATTTGAATAGCCCTGAGTTACAATATGTGTGGCAGTGATGCTATTGCTTTGATTTTTAACCTTGGTATTTGCATGTATTTATTGTGACCAGCAGAGGTCATTCAAGGCTACAGTTTTACTCGCTAGTGCTGGAGTGATGAGAATGATGCAGCAGTTTACATACCAGTGAAGCAGTGAAATATTATCTAAGCCAGTGATTCTCAGCCCAGTCCTCGAGGATCCCCAGACAGTCCTGGGAGGGAGCAAAAACGTGGACCGTCTGAGGGTGTCTGAGAACTGGTTTAAGAAACACTTATCTAAGGTACTTCACAGGTTTTCCACACAATTAAAAATGTTTTTAATAGCATAGTTCATACCAAATTCTACAGATTCACAGGGGGAAAAATATTCTTAGTGCCTATCATGTACAAGTAGGAAAAACATACTAAGCATTTTTGCTCCAGCAGAACAAGAGCCTCAATAAATTCCCTTAAGTGCTGAAATGTGATACAATGAATTTGTGTACGTTAAAAAAGAATAGTAATGAAGCAATTCACCTTTCAACAGTTGTTTTAACTTTTAATTATTTGTGAAGTACTTTGTTCAGTGCTGAACATGTCTCGTTAGTAACCACAGCAAAACAATGCAAGAAATTCACACATTACCATGCAACAATCAATCTGATGATTCTGAAAGAAGGATTACCATATCTCAAAAAAGTTTGCGTAAATCGACGTAACAGTTTGAGGTATATTACAGCAGCTGAGCACACATACAATCCACAAATAACTATTTCATCATATTCAGAAAAAATAAATATTACTTTAGTTATATTTTTTGGAAATAGCATTTATATGTAATTATAATGTTTTTCGCGTATCAATTATTGCCCTGAAAGGAAAATGGTAAAATGCATGAAATTCATAATTTAATAAACATCCCACATATTACCATCAGTCTAAAAAAGCCATCGTATTCCACAAAATACAACAGAATATACACATTAAGATCTAATATCTGTAAATGTAAGTGTTTCCTAGTCACCAAAAAATCTGTATACCTCAAATATGTCAAATTAAGTGCTAAGACAGTGTTTCCAAAGCCAGTCCTAGGGGACCCCCCCAGACAGTCCATGTTTTCTCTCTCACCCAGGATTTTGGTGTTCTTGATTGGCTGGGAGCTTTGAGCGAGCAAGAATGTGGACTGGCTTGGGAAACATCGTGCCAAAACATAAGGTTGTGACTACTTCACCACTTCACTCCTAACTCGTGAACAGACAGTGCAAAGCTACAGCCTCTCTAAAAGGAGCATGTCAAGTGGTTTAATATTTCGCCAAACTAGAACAGTGGTTCCAATGAGACTCCACTGCAGCATTTCTCACTGAATGAACCACTTACACTTTTACACAGAATGTAATGACCAAAGTTGTACTCTACTTAAAATAATGATGGCCAAATGAAGCTTCATTAACCATTTGCTGTATTTTCCTGACTCCACTAGATGGTGCTCACTGTTCATAAAAGGGCTCAAAGCATGTCCCAAAGTAAACCAAGAGCACCATCTAGTGGGGTCAGAAAATACAGCAAATGGTTCATAATACTTCATTTGGCCATCACTACATTTAAAAAAGCATTAAATCAAAGAATGAGCAATGTTCAAACTACCAGGAACCAGGGAAATGCCCAGATGCCTTGAAAAAAATATACAGCTATAGAATCCTGGTTTAGATTACCATTAATAAACAAATAAACAAATGATAAAGTGCTATTTTTACAATGGTGTAAAATCTTTCAATTAAGAAATACATGTTATTTTTTTTTTGGTATTTTTGCAGGAACCAAAAACAAATCAGACATTCGTTCCAATACAGGATTTCAAGTGCTTGCATTTAAAACCAATGATGAGCAATCATCACAGTGCATGCCACAACATGAAATTTGGTTTACTGAAGTACAATAGCTGCTACTGCAAGACAGCTGGAACCGTGAGCTTCTTACATACATTTTCAGTTCCATCACCAGCTATCCCAGCTTATCATGGGTTTCTAAGATTGAATCCTTGAGGCGTTAATACCTAATCCAATATTTTTGATTTCAGTGTAAATCTCTTCTAAGACTCAGCACTGTTGATTATAAAAATGCATTGTATTGTATTAAAGTCCCAGACAATAGCAGCTCTAATACCCAATGCTTGTCATACTTGTAAATAGTTAATATACGCAACTGCTTTTTTGCCAATGGGAATGAAATTTTGTAAACTGATACATAGTATAACAACAAAAGTATTTTAAAAAAGCAGTATTTCAGTGTTTCACAGACTTATCGGACTATTAAGCACCATATTAATTTGTGCATCTATGTTGAATTTCGTTTTTACATATTGAGTGTATGTGAAAATCTGTGTCCCCCTTCAAAATGATAACTTTCATACATCCATCCATCCATCCATCCATCCATCCATCCAACCATCCATCCAACCACATTTCCACTAGACAGTCATGGTGAGACAGGGGCCTGAATTTCCCTTCCATATGTACAAATTCAGTTGCATCATACATTTGGAAAAATAAATCGCTCTTATTTATGTAGAAAGGCTTGATTTTTATTTGCAGCCAAACAAGCATAAAGGAAAAAATGAATAATGGAAAGTACCAGATTATATCTGTGCCTTTTGTATCTGCTTTTTTCATCTTAAATTACTCTTAGCAATACAAACGACTGCTGCTGTTTAACAGCAAAAAACAGTATTTAATCATTTATTTGCCTGTGGGGTTTAATATACTGAAATCATAGGAACAAAACCACAGGTGAAATATACATATAGTCTGAAATGTTTTTAGGGAGATGATGTAAAAATAGTTGGGGAAGAACGGATTAATCACATCACACAAAATCCACAATGACCCGCTAAAGTAAGTGCTCATTATGATTGTCATTTTCAGCTTAATGACTGGGGAAATTCTTTACTGCATCATTCGGGGTCATACGATCCTGAAGGTTCAATTTATTTCAGTGCAAAATGTCACATTGCAACTTATGCGTTTTGGAACTTATTATGAGAAGGCAGCACACAAAGTCAGCAGTCATGGTTTTTGAGTATCATGAAAGTGGTCAATATTCAAAAGTATGCAGAGTATAGAACATCACAGTTTGATTCTTGTTTCCAGACTTCTTCTGGTTTCAGCTGAAGAAAGATGAATTGTTTAGGATCTTTGGTTATCTAATGTGCAATTTCAGTAGTATTCATTTCACACCCTGTAGCTCCCACCCCCAAAGAGACCAGCTTCTCCCTCTGGGATGATAATGAATTATGGCTGCATCATGTCTTTTTGATGGAATGAAAATGCAATGAATGTGTAGTCTGTGCTAAAAATATTTAAAATATAACAGACACCTTGACCACCAACAGTAAAAATGGTAGATGTGATCTAGTCTGTGATATGTCCTCGATGACATAAGTGAATATGATGAATGAACCTGTATGTATTTGCCACTGCAGAGCAAATTTTCAAGCAAGGTTAGGAAATGGAGTCTGGCATTTTTTAAATACACAGGGAAACGCAACAGGTTTTGTATTCAATCGATATCTGGAAAAATAAAAATGATTTTGTCTCCAGTAACAAACGAAAGGGCTGGATTGAAGTTGAAAGCAAAATTGTTCGCCATTGCTGTGGTTAAATGGAGAGAGAAATGACAGCAGGATACACATGGTTATGAGCAAAAGCTGACCAGGTCTTATTTTACTCAACACAACTGTGAACCTTGCAGTGGTGGACTTCCCTACGTTGACCTACTGTATCATGACTGATTCATGAAACTGAATCCTGTACTACAAACTAAACATCTACTATGCACAATACAGTACATAGACGCATTACTTTGAATCTGCAGTATGGCTTGTAGAAAGCACGCCTCAAATGAACTGAAACTGCAAGCAACTTCCATCACATTGTACACAACAACAAAGGAGGACACTTGCAGTCCCAATAACACAACAAAATAAAAATCAGACCATTAAAATAAGTTGATAGACAGGAACACCAGTGCTCAGACAGATCGGCGTACAAGGTTGTTCTTGTCAGGTTCAAGGAACTCCTCAACCAGAGTTCCTGTTACCTTAAGCAGTTCCTCCTTCAGACTGGAACCATCCCTTAAAAATGACGAAAATATGAATGTGTTACGTGCATTATGCTGCAATGATGGCTTTGTTTTTAAATGATTCTTTATCTCAAATACTCAAAAATGCAAAAACAACCACTCCTTAATTTGCAAACAAGCTCCATTCCAAAGACCAGTGTGTTAAGCAAAATGGTCCCTAAGTGAAAATCACGGCACTAACTACAGTTATTTCAGCCTTCCATACTTGATTCCATGTATTCTTCATAAAGTTAATTTTTTAAACGACATTCTGTACATTATACTTCAAAGATTTCTTTAAATCTTCGACATTTAGTCATACAGTAAATGTGAAAATTGGTCGGGTAAAGTAATTTTTTATTACTCTCGTATTCGTGAAGAGTTAAATCAAGGTAGTCGCAAACAAGGAGTGGTTGTAAAGATATACCCTTTTATTATCAATAAGTACAATATACCAGTGAAAAACAATATCATTAAGAGGAATGTTTAGTTTCCTGACAGTTAACTTTGTTAGAATGTATGCTACAGAAGCTAACCTGTTTCCAGGAGGTGCGCGGATCTCTGCATAGTATTTGATTTTGGGTTCTGTCCCACTTGTCCTCAGTGTGGCTACAAGGCCATTCTGAAAGGTGAAGGTGACCATCTGGCTGCTCTTCATCACAGGCAGAACCTGTACCAAAGAAAAAAGAAAATATGAAATACACATACAGACATACGAACATACATATATGGTTGTCGCACTTACGCATTTATGGTTAGGCTGACTGCTGTCATAGCCTGTAGTCACATCCCTGATGTGTGTAATTTTGTAACCTCCACAAGAATCTGGATACCCCTCCTTGCCGCCCCAATTACGAAGCCCGGAGAATATTCGTTTGATGGTGGGAGAATCGTAGCAGATGACGTAGGATGTTCTTGATATATGTAGACCATAACTGAAAGACACAAGCAACCCAGAGGGAAAAACATGATAACATGAGCCAGACTACAAGTTATGTCTCTGTGACTTATGAATGTACAGTTGTCCCTCCAGATTCAAGATATTTGACAATCACGATTTCGGTTATTCTCGTGTTGGGCATGAGTAATTAAATGGGAATATTTTTGGAACTTCCCAAAAGATCGTAAACTCACAGATGAGGTGAAAGCCAAAAATATATACACAATACTAGTGGAGGACATATTAAGCTTCATGAACCATTTGCTGTGTTTCCTGACCCCACTAGATGGTGCTCTCTGTTCATTAAAGGGCTCAAAGCTTGCTCCAAAGTAAACTCTAAAAATACAGCAAATGGTTCATGAAGATTAATTTGCCCATCATTAAACAATACTGAAAATTATTTGGATCACATAAAATCATATAATATAACAATATCAGTAATACGTAACATTTTTTAGTGTAACTACATACTACATTAATGTTAATATTAAAAGTTTTGGTTAGGGTACACAGCACAACCTTGTCTCGACAATCAGCCTCACTCATGCATTAACTGTCTTTGTAGCCACAGAATCTCACATTTCTTGCAGTAACTTTTATACTTTTCGAAGCCGTTAATTTTGCATTTTTAATAAGTATTATTATTTGTATTATTTGAGAATTTTTGCCTGTGGAGGGGATCTTCCACCCCTAACCCTTGTGAATTCGAAGGGGTAACTGTATATTAAATATCACAGAGATAAGCTATCACATGTCTTTTATTACAGCACCAGTCTCACAACAATGAAGACAAGCAGGAAGTCACAGGTCTTACATTTCATAAATGTTCTCCAGCTGCTGGCTCAAGGTGAGGTTCTTGTCATTTAGATAGGATACCATCTCTGCCACCACAACCGCAGCACTGACTCCATCCTTATCAGGAACCATGCTTCCACACATGAAACCTTCACCCCAGAGAAAACAGACCATACAGGTACAAGCTCAGGAAGAGGTAGAACATAACAAGAACGCCAACATTTCATTCCAAACAAGACTTAACTAGACTAATTAATCTGTTACAAAAAAACAAGCTTTTTTTTATTTAGCTACAAGTTTACCGAAAACAATATAGATATTCCATATTGTAAAGGTACGGAAGTGAATATTTCATTGCAATTTACTAAATATATTCACATGAACACCTTTTGTTCATGCTAAGACTGATTCTGAATGGTCCAATTCTTAAGCAATTGGTCATGACTAAATCTTAATTAGCAAAATGGAAAATGAGTCTATGAAATCCACAGTGGGGAGGACTGCCTTACTTCACCATATTAAATAGAATTAAATACACCCTTAACTAACCCTGGATTCTACGGTATTTTTGACCATTTGATGTCAGTATTCAATACATACCTATGGATTCCTCAAAGGCAAACAAAACCACCTTTCCTTTCTTTTCGAGTTCATGGATTTTATTCCCAATCCATTTGAAGCCTGGTAAGGTTTCCTGTGAATGACAAGTTACCATAACCACGTAAATCTAATTACATCTCCGTAAGAAGGAATACGGGATCCTTAACAGTTGTCCATCACAATAAATCGAAAGATCAAACACATTTTGTTAAGGACCAGCCTTAAATGGTTTCTAAACTGGGATTGCTCTTTGAAAAAGTCACCTCAAAGTGGAAGCCTTCGATTTGTGCAAAGGCCTGGAGAACTTTCGAGGACACTGTGGTGGCCAGCATGTACACCTTATCCGTCTCAGCGGCGTCAGGATGCTGGTCTTTCCAGTTCAGCAGCATCCACCAGCCCAACAGAGCCGCCAGCTCATTGCCTGTAAACACTCTCCATCGGCTGCTTCCAAGCAAGAACACAACAAGGACAGACTTACCAACAGATCATTTACCCACTGGAATGATACACAACAATCAGGCTAACCAGCTGTCCATATTCTTCTCTGGATCGTTTTGCCTATATGCCTATAACCAAAGGGCTGATGAAGACCTAAAAACATTTTCTGCTGTGATTCATGCAGCACATATATCTGTCTACCTGGCAGCGAATAAATTTTGCACTGAATTACACTAAGAAAGAGGGAACATTCTGCTGCTTGGGTTCTGCTAATTCTCATAACCCACACCTCTACACACAGTAATTAACCAAAAGAACCAACTGAAACCAATAAATGATTAGGTAATAATATAAAAATCCTATAGAATAAAGCCTTAAATGATCCTGTGGCACAAATATTAGACTTGTTAATCATGAAGGTGAAGGTCTTCATAAAAGCAGATTTTTAAATAATCTTTTTAGATCACAGGAGTCCCTAATAAACAAACCATATAATAAGACGTCTAGGCATACTTGTCACATATTTCTGCAACAGCCAATCGATCCGCATCTGGGTCAGTGGCCAGAACTATCCTAGCACCCTTGTTCTCAGCCAGGCGAAAAGAGAGGTCCTATGACGAGATCAAAAGAAGCTCTTGGCATGTAAAAAAAAAACAAAACAGAACTGGATGTGGTATGCACTTGTGTGAAAGTCAACGCAAACATACGGGATGCAAGATTTCAGGCTAAGAGAACAGCAGTCAGAATTAGGCCTGCATTTTTGGTTAACAATAAACAGGGAGCCTGACACAAGTTAGTGATAGTTATAGCTACTTGTGATTTTAAGGCATTTGGTTAGTAAATATTGTAAAAGTAAAAAAAGTAAAAGGAAATACAGTGGTACCTCAGTACTCAAACTCATTAGAACTTGAATTTCTTAAAAGTCGAACCAACCAGTTTGAAAAAAAAATGACCTAGAACTCGATCTGAATCTCAGAAGTCGAACCATGAAAACCGACCTAAGATAACTTGTACGCGCGGGGAAATGAGTCACACGGCACGTTTCTCAGCAGAAACAAAGGGTAACGCTTCAGTCTCAGCCTCACATTCGCTGTGATAGCATCGTGCATGTTTACACTAGCTGAATACATATATGTAGACAGTAAAAATACATTTAGAGAATGATAGACAGTAACAGTAATTATTATTATATAATAAAATACATTTAAAAATAAAGATTTCTTATTATTTTTATATCATTAATAATAAACCATTAATACATTTAATTATAATAATATTGTCGTGCCGAGCGGGGATGGAACGGAGACAAAGGCGCAGACGTCAGGGTATCGAGGAATACTGGATTTAATTACAGGTAAGACAGGCAAAATGCAGACGGACAATACAATGACTGGACTGGGGAAACAAACTGAAACGGTGATGAAATACAGAGGATGAATGACAACAACCAGAAACAGCTGATCACACGGGGATTCCACACGAGGTTAACGAGGGGGCGTGGGTCACGGAAGGAGCAGACGATCGGGGCAGGACACATTTAAAAAATTTAAAAAAAAACACTTTACACAGGCTCGCCAAGTTTGGATACATTTATTTTCTTACTTTACAAATTACTGTTTTGATAAATGTGCTTAGATGTGTTTAGTACAGTACTGTATATATCCTGTTCATTTTGTGTTTAAATGCTAAAAAAGAACACATTTAGGTGTAATTTTTTTGGGGCCGGGAACCAATTAATTGGTTTTCCATTATTTCTTATAGGGAAAATTCGATCAGAACTCGAACATTTTAGGATTCGAACCAGAGTTCTGAACGGATTAAGTTCGAGTTCTGAGGTACCACTGTATTTATGGCTTCACACTTGAGATTTGTGTGTGTGTGTGTGTGTGTGTGTGTATAATGAGAGGTAGGCAATGCAGGTCCATTCACTCACCAATACAGACTCTCCTTCTTCTGGATTGGGACAGCTGACTGTGGGAAACTCTGGATCGGGGAGCATCTGCTCCGGCACAGGAATTGGTGGAGAAAAGCCAAATTCTCTGAAGGCCATCTGAACATAGTTGTGCCCAACTCCATGAAAAGCAGAGTGAACAAACTTCAACGGCGTCCTGGAGTTCAGCTCCCTAAAAAGGAGAAGGCAGCAATACACAGTCGTGCTAGAAAGTGTGTGAACCCTTTAGAATGATGTTTCTCAACCCCATTTTCGGGGACCCACAGATGGTCCATGTTTTTCATCCGTCGCAGCTCCCTTCCAGACGGCCCACCTTTTTGCTGTCTACATGTCCCCAGGGAACAGACTGCAAAACACTGCTTTAGTATTTCCTCTGGTTCTGCATAAATATGACCTACGACGTGATCATAAATTCTAAAACTAGTGAGACCCCAGTTACTTTATTCATTCAGGAAAATGAACAAGGTCTGCATATTTGTACATGAAGAAGTATGGATTATGTGTTCTGAAGAGGAATTCCAACTCTGATGTTTCCATCAATGCGATGACAATTAGGTGAGAGGTCCTGCCTTATTAAAAGAACATAAGCGTGGATCTTCAATAGCAAAGTTCTCATTTGTTTTCCATATACAAATAAGTAGAACTGTATCATTTTCCTCAGTAAATAAAGGAACGAGTATATATTTTTGTGTCATTTGCTAAAATAGGTTCTCTTATGTGAGTTGTTTTAGGTTTTACAATGCAGAAATAGAGAAAACTCTATAGGGCTCACAAACTTTCAAGAACCACAGTAAGAGTTTTCATTGGACACTTAATCGACTGATATGATGTTCTCTCCTAGTATGAGTCATGATAAACCATTTGCTGTATTTTTTGACCCCAGTAGATGGTGCTCTTGGTTTGCTTTGGGACATGCTTTGAGCTTGTTTTTGAACAGAGAGCACCATCTAGTGGGGTCAGAATATACAGCAAGTGGTTTCTGAGGCCTAATCTGGCCATCACTATCCTCTCCCTCTCATGACATCCAAGGTACTGGTACCTGTGAAAGCAAAGAGAAGCCAGTTCTTCCATGTAACACCTGGATATGTCCTCCAGAGGGTCTTTTCTCAAGGGGCTGCTATCAGACAGGTTCTCATTCCAAGACTCAGCCCAGGGCTCCAAGCTCTCCTCTATGCACCTGATAACCTCTTTGTCATGGGGTGCACAGATCTGAGCTCCGTTCTCCCAGTAGACCTAAAGAAAAAAAAATCCCCATTTACATTATTGTTCTTGAGGCCTTTGCATCTATTCATAATGAGTGATGTAATGCCAGTGCAAACTTAGAGTAAATCTGCAGGTATCATAGCCACTAGACATGCACCTTGTATCCATTGTCCTCTTTAGGGTTGTGAGAGGCGGTGATCATCACACCTGCAGCTGCTCTCAGCTTTTTCACGGCATACGGCTATGGAAGATGACAATATATTTTACACATTTGGATCATGTTCGAAGTTGAATTGAAGAAGCCTTCCAGGAGGACAAAACATTCTGGCTGATTTCCAGTGCAATACCCCAAAAGATTTATTATTTATTAATAAGCAACTATAACTTACCCCTTTTAATAATAGTTTCAGACAGATACCCATTAACATTTTAGAAATCTAATTTCTCTATGAAGTTATGTATCTCAACAAAGTCACTGTCCTTTGAGCAACAAATATCCCCATGAGAGAACTATGATAGTAGATTTACTCACCACAAAGGGAGTAGGCACATAAGTGGAGAATAGATACACGGGGACGTCTTTACAGAGCATAACTGCTGCAGTTAACTTGGCGAGCCTGATGAGAAAGTAAAGAATTTTTCATAGGAATAAATGTACTGTCAGGTGTATGACAATCAGAGATATTGCCATATTAAGTTGCAGGAGGTGGCTTTTTTAGATATTTAATTTTTTTTAAAGTATCTGCAGAATAAATAAATGTGTGTTGTTTAAATGCAGCTGCAAAGGTGAGATGTTTCCGTGCAACCGCCAGCTCTGTATGATGGTGAGTTGTTTCCGTGCAACCGCCAGCTCTGTATGATGGTGAGGTGTTTCTGGCCAGCTCTGTATGATGGTGAGGTGTTTCCGTGCAACGCCAGCTCTGTATGATGGTGAGGTGTTTCTGGCCAGCTCTGTATGATGGTGAGGTGTTTCCGTGCAACCGCCAGCTCTGTATGATGGTGAGGTGTTTCTGGCCAGCTCTGTATGATGGTGAGGTGTTTCTGGCCAGCTCTGTATGATGGTGAGGTGTTTCCGTGCAACCGCCAGCTCTGTATGATGGTGAGGTGTTTCCGTGCAACCGCCAGCTCTGTATGATGGTGAGGTGTTTCCGTGCAACCGCCAGCTCTGTATGATGCCATGTTTGGTTCTTCCTCATCAAATTGTAAACAACTTGCGTGAACTTGCTATTGAGAATGGATCCGCTTTTTTCAGTGAACCATTGCATCCCTATTTATGCTAAACCAGAACTTTTCTGCAGAAATGATTTATAACAAAAAAAAACACTCTTCCGTATTATGCTGATATCTTAGTTTTGTGAATTAGAGGCTTATAAAACATTTCTCTGTGTCAAAGAAAAGCTTTTCTTTAAAAACCCTGTCAGAATATGGCAAAAACTTTTAGTCAGTAGAATTCAAGCAGTTAAGTGGTTCCAAATAATTTGTTTTTTAGTTAGATTGCCATTTTACCCTTTTTATATTAACTGGCTTTAATACGGACAATATTATTCAAACACAACTGCAACTAAAACCTTTAACCTCCCATTTGTGAAAACAGCTCCATGACATGACAGGGCTTACCGTTGACTGCTACAGCCACTTGCTTCCTGTCCCCTTGTGTCATAGCCAATTACTATACCTCTGGTACCCACATCAGGAAAGCATTTGTCCAGATATTTGTACATGCCCTACAGAAGGTGATGAAGAGAAGCATTATGGGTTTTATTTTTTAATACAGACAAATAAGCATAAATCGTGATCTTTGCTATCATGAGAAAGCAGAGAATTTAATTAATTCTCTACAATATAGTCTTATGTAATTTGGTGATATTATCGATCGGATGGATGGATGGATGGATGGATGGATATCATACCAAGGTACAACCTTCAAAATTCATTATGAACTGAAATAATATGTAAAGATTCTTTTATGAGAAGGGAAAATTATACAATCAAGTGTAAACATGAAGAAAACATCAAGCAAGCAAAAATGGCTAACCTGAGTTTAAGGCCATAGAATACAGAAATAGATTTCACCTTTTTAGTAAACTCTTACCTAATTAACAAACGTGTCCATTAAGACTAAACCACGGTAGACACCGTGACACAATGTTAGCGCATAAAGGTGAAGCTGCTGACCTGTGTTGACTGGATAATGGTCAAGTCGTTTATGAGCGCAAAGCCAGCCCCCACGGTGGCCCTCAAGCCGGCAGTCCCAAACGCCATCCGGGCACAAAGTCTGCGGCGCAGTTCCTCCAGATTCCCATCACCCAACAGCGCCTCGATCTGGGCCCGTGTTCTGGGGTTCTGGGTACACCCACAAGAAGAGAAATACAGAATGCAAGTTTAGGAGGGCTTAACATGCATGGAAGCAGGCCAGGAGCTTAAGAATTTTTGCTGTTAGTCAAATGGGCTAGTTCAGTTTAAAATGTGGTCCAAGATGCAATCTTATTTATTTATTTATTTTTACTAGCCGGCGGGTTAATGTTCACACCATAGCCATACGCGCAAATAGACTAAGTACTTGATAACATACAAAGAGCCCGGTTTAAGGGCATGCTAACAAAGATACTGGCTAAATGTAGATGTTACGCTAAATATAACGTTACAAGTTACTTAGGTTAGAAAAGTATTACATATTACAAGGTGTGAGGTGGAAATGCAGCAAGTGCACCAGAGACATTAGGTCTGTTTTAGATTGAATAAACTGCTCTGCAGTGACGCACCACAAAATTGCTATGCTACATGCCTGGGCATCCAACTCGCAGAAATAAAGACCCAGTAAAAGAGCTAGCACTTTATTAAAAACAAACCACGAATCTGAATTTCCTGTCACACACCATACTAACCTCAACCCCTACAGCTGTAGGTCCCTGAGGACCGGATTGGGAAACACTGCTCTATAGCATTTATGATGGAAACTATTAAGCAGTGTTCCTATAGCTCTCCTTTCCATCTTGCACTTGTTTTATTGGAAGTTTAGCTTATCAGTACATGTATATAATTTTGAACCTTGATAGTAGTATGGTTGTTTTGTATTATCCGCATTGCTTGTACATCACCCTGGAAAAAGCATAAATGTACCATTCTGTTCACCGTATTTAAATCTGCTGAACAACACTTGTGGCTTGTTGGTCAAACGGTAGGCTTTGCCTATTTCTCTGATGTCTTGTCTTGTTAAAATGAGCTACAATTCTGCAATGTTCATTAATCAAACACAAAGTCTCCTCTCATTTATTTAGGATTATTAAGGATTGAAAAAGATTACAATATTTCTGTTGGAAAAAATTGTAGCATGCCACTTTATAACTTTAAAGTTATTTTTGCTAGAAATGGCAACACTAAACTCACTTAAGAGAATTACCAGCACTGATTTATGTAACAATCGATCATCATGCACATTTCAGAAACAAAATGCATTTTCGTCTAAGGAGAACTGACGACAAGTATCATGTTTCATATTTACGTTCTGCTGCATGTTTGACATTTAGGGAGTTAGTTCAGCCAGATCCTCAGCACAGCTGATGATCCCCAAACCCGCCACTGCAAAAGCAGTGCACTGGTACAGTGCAAGAAAACATGTATTGGCTGAATGTAACAATGCATAACAAACTCATGATGTTCAATTCAAAGCACACACTTCTAGTACTGAGGACAATGTACAATAACAAATTGCAAATGACAAATAGCAAAGTTTTGTTTCCAGGTTTCAAATCAATGTTTTGTTCTTAAATAATCCAAGTCCAGCCTAAACTGGGGAAGAAAAAATTAAACCAAAAGCATTAACAATTTAATGCATGAATGAGTTTTTTGTGTTATGATTCCCAATACTTACCACCTTCTATTGCAAAGTTAAATATGGTAAGCCAGATGTACATAAAACCTACTGGAATGTTTTTTGTCATGTCATCTTTCGGATATGTAAATATTTGTTCTTTTTCCATTGCATTGATCTTGTAAAGGCCCATGGTTAGTGAAGAACAATGTACATACATATTTAACAAACCAACTGCAAATTTAATGCGTTTTTTTTCTTTTGATAAAGGCAGCACATTCCTGGATCTTTGCCAATTCATGCAATTCGAGTGGAGGCGAGACAGCTAAGTCTGGCAATAGGCGGTATTACATTAAAACCGAAAGGACCCGTCAATTAGCAGTTCATATACATCTGACATATCGAGAAGATAACTCGATGTCCAAATTATGTATAGCAGAGCTAACAAAACTAAATTTAATATGAAGCAAAATATTAACATAGTCAGTGTGTTCATCACAATCGCTCGAACTCAAAATAAGATGGAAAAACGTTATACTGTTTGAGTTACATTATCCTGGGACAGTTTCTTTAGTGTATTGAAAAAGTAATCTTTACACAATACAGTGAACAAAAAATGAGACTTGCTGTAGAATAATCTTGTTTATATAGACAGACTGTGGAAAAGAACCGTACTTTTACAGTAGGAAACCGAATACGACATTCTGAAGACAGGGGGAGTCTTGTTTTTTGTAAAAAAAATAACCCATAACGACCAAAAACCTGCGCTGAATGTATGAGCACGGAATATACAATGATAAAGCATATACATGCCTATTCATCATTGCCTTAAAGTGACAGTCCACCGATTATCAAGGACAGCGACCACCAGTTTAGGTGCCGCCATCACGACGCATAATTACTGACCTTATCCCAAGTGATCCACTGATAAATCGCTTTGTCCAGCGTGGCATCTCCGGTTGCACGGCAGTGCTGGTTGGCGTTCAGATCCTCACCATAGTCCTCCATTGCGTGGCTGATCCGGACACGTTATGTTACTTAAGCGGTATTTATCTGCTTCGGAGACTGGAATGAACCAACGCACGAACTAGATAAAAAGCAGCGACATCTGGCATATAGCTAGCCACTTTATACAAGACTATACCGACAGCTAACACACTTTAAAGAGAGAACTGTATAATGAATCATGAGGCATTTGTGCATTCGCAGAGAAAAGCAGCTCTGATCGCCCGTATAAGCTGCACCACAGGCAGGTACAGTTACTCTCAATGATAAACAATTTCAGGGCTCAACTTCAGTGACAGCTCTACAGCACTCCAGCTTTCAGGAAGCCAGCAAACGTTTCCGCACGCCGAGCAGCGGAGCACCCCAGCTACCCACAACGGACCCGCTTATCATTCGCTGATTTCACAGAGAAGTACCAGGAGATATGATCTGCTCTCGGGAAGATCTTTCTTTGCCCTAACCCTCTCTCTTTCCATGTTACCCACATGCATTCAAATACAATGCGCCGCGCCTGCTTCAGAACCGAATTCGGCGAAGTAAATGCCGCCGAACTGCCTTTCGGGAGTCGTAGTTCCTACGCAAATTGGAAGCGCTAGACCAGGGGTGTCAAACTGCAGTCCTGGAGGGCCGCAGCCTTGTGTAGCTTAGTTCTTTCCCTGATCCACCACAAATGATTCCGCTCAACATCTATGTGGTAATTAGCACAAGAAGTCGAATCAGGTGTGTCAAATGAGGGGAAACCCAAAAATGTGCAGAGCTCTGGCCCTCCAGGACTGGAGTGACACCTGTGCGCTAGACTGTGGGTCAGCGAGTCATACTGCACACTTGCAGGGTTGTGGGTTCAAGAGCCCTGCTACACTTCCATACATCGCCCAGACTGCGGGGTAGACTTCAAATTACTAAAAAAGCATAATAATGCAAACCTTGTTTATTTACATGAACTAATTCAATGTGAGCACCACTTAGCAGCAATTTGACAGTTAAATAAAATTTGATGTCGGTGAAATGATGATGATATCACTTAGGTGTGAAAGCCACACTTCACCAACTAAAATGAAACAATATTATGGCATTTTATGATTCAGGTGTGTGAGTAAGGTCATATACAAACATACACCACTCCTGCGTGACATTTTAGAATCATGCAGGTCAGATAAGATTAGCACCAAAAGCTACAGCAAATTATCAACAGCCAAGTTCAAATATACATGATTTTTAACCAAATACGCTATTTTGAGATTTTTCTGTATTTTAATTAGTTTGATAAAATCAGAAAATTGAGGACTGAAGTGATAGCACTTACACAAACATATAGGTCGCAGTCGGTCACAGCGGTTGCACAGCAGTTTCAATATAATTCAATATAATACTGATATATATTTTTTTTAAATAATTAGCTTTGATAAATAACATTTTCTAAATAATTCCTCAAAAAGAATGCAGCATTATTGTTCATAACAAAAACAATTCCAGTAACTTGCATAGCACTCCATATTCCCCGCTATACTGACAAGACAGTTGAGTTTATTTTGGGACATTGATTTATATAAAACAATGAGGAATATGTGATATTTTATAAATTATAAACCAGACAAAAAGTTTTCCAGAAATGTGTTCACAAACTAAAAATATTGGAACAAGTTCTATCCACCACTCTACTTATCTACTAATCTTGCGCGATTTTAAATTTTGTTGTTTTCCGAATCTTCCAGCGACAGGTTACAGTGAAAATGCTCAGAAAAGGCTTCTAGCAGCGGTGACACTGCTTCTGGAACACTGACTTCTCTCCTCAGTTCTTGGCTCAAAGAGGTGACTCCTTTACCCACAATCCCACAAGGCACAATATTTTCAAACCATCGCATGTCTGTGTTGCAGTTCAAAGCCAAGCCGTGTGATGTGATGTAGAGCCCACAATGGATACCTGTAAAGACGCAATACACAAAAAATAATCAGTAAATATTGCTGTGGTTATTTCTGATTAATGTGCAATTATGAACAAGTCACTTACCAATAGCGCAAATCTTATTCTCACTAACCCACACGCCTGTGTCTGGAGAAGAGGCAGCTTCGATTCCAAATTTGTCACACAAACTGATCACGGTCCTCTCAAGCTGGCAAACATACCAGCGAACACTCTTCTTAAAAAAATTAAGATTAAGGATGGGATAGCATACCAATTGGCCAGGCCCATGAAAAGTTATGAGCCCACCACGGTTAGTACGAAAAAACTCGGCACCAAGACTCTTTAATCTCTCTTCCTCCTCCGCAGAATAGAGCGCTTGCCGAATTCCAACAGTGTATACAGGCTGGTGCTCACAGAGCAACAAAGTGTTTGAATATTTTGATGAAGTGTCCAGATGTTTTTTAATATGTTGTTGTTGAACCCTTAAAGCACTTGCATAGGGAATGAGTCCAAGATTTACCACTCTGACAACAGTTTTCTGTATTCTCATTTTGTCATTAGCACATTCTGTATGTCTACACAAAGTAAAAAATGTAGATAAGGGCCAGAATCATATACAAAACATCACATGGCAGCAGAGTTGATGTTTATATAAACAAACAAAAAAAGTAAATAACCCTTTTCTTACGACCTTGGTGAACTATTCTATGTCTGGAGAAATCCACTTGGATTTGGATGTCCAAGAAAACACCAGCCGCCTTCCTTGGCTGTGGATGCCACGTCTAGGCCTCGCGTCATATGCGTTTTCGTCAACATTCACTGATTCAGCCAATATCCATTCGATACTGTTATCCAGTGATACAAAATAATCAGAGCAAACAATGCAATGCCGACTGTGTTTACGAAGGTCAAACCCTCAGACTCATGCATTAGAATTATCTGTAAGATATAAAAAACATAAAAACAGGGCATGAAAAACTAAAACAGGACAAGTCAAATTTCACGAAAATAAAATATTAAGTATAACAGTGAGGTAGCAGCTGTACATCTAATACCACAGAGTAAACAAATCAGAAACTATAAGTTTTTCCGCTACTGTCACGCACTGATATTACTGTATTTCGCATTGCAATACAGTATGTCAAATACAGAGACCGCGTGTGTGTGTGTGTGTGTGTGTGTGTGTGTGTGTGTATATATATATATGTATATACTACCTAGCTTGTTGATATTTGCTACCCTCGAAGGGTCTTCATAAAAGTCAGCATGTGAACGCGACAGACTTCTTGTTCGTGTATCCGGAATTCCAAAAACGACCTTGACTTCGTTTAGCGCCACCTGCTGTTTTGGAGGGATTATCTGAAAATAAACATTTTCGTAACAAGCCTAACAAAGAACATTTTCAGAATTAGAAAAAATATATACATTTTTCATTCTATAAATCGCAAAGTCCAAGATCACTTAAAATAAATAAATTGCTGACCTGATAACACACATATGCAATGTAGCACAACCTGAATGACAAACCACCTTGAAACGTTAAATGTATAATACAATGCATTTATATTATCGACAGGTTTTCAGAATAGCTGTGGATACATATCATAAGCCTGCGCTGTACACATTCACAACGTCCATCCATCAACTAACATCTTAGTCAGTGTCGTGGGACAACCAAAGTACACTTCCCTAATTAATGTGTTTCAAAACTCCATTTAAGTACTTTACGATTTTTATATTTTTACGGAATTTTAATTTATTGAATGGCACAAGAAAGAAGTTGAGCCATATGCAAACCAACTCCAAAATGCGGCGAGTTTTTTGGTAGCTTAATGTTTCCGTAGTTATATTGTTTCCAAGGAAACGACCCTTTGAACTCGGAGATAGAAGTAGAGGAAGGACTAATTTCCCGCGTTTAAAAAAATATTGTGAATTTATAGGTTACAGATGCCTCTCAGATATTTATGGTAAACTTTTTAAAGAAGGATTTACTAGAATTTACGATATGGACGATCTTTATTTAGAGAACATCGACGAATTCGTCAATGATCATAATAAAATTGTAAGTGAAATATTAAGAATTTTGACCTCATCCATTGCATTTACAATGTGCATAGTTACAATGCTTTTGTTCGCCAAAGCGATTTTTTAAAATACATTACGTTCTGTGCTTATGCTAATTAGTAACATAGATGCATGGTGTATAACGAATATTTGGGGAAATACCACTGCACTAGCATGAGGATCTGACTAGCACCTTCTTACTGCTTAATTTGACTTATATCACCAAAACCATGCTTAATTTTATTGCATAATTATTCTAATAGTTTATTGGTGGCTGTGGTTTGTAGTTGTTGTTTTAACCTCACCCTTTGAGCTACATTTTAAGTTAGTGGCTGTTCGAAATGGTTAACCGTTTGTAATTTTCATATGCGTACAGGTTACTTATAAATGGCTGAGTCTCACACTTGGAGTCCATGTCAATCAGGCCAAACAGTAAGTACGACCCATTTTAGATATGTGAATTCCCTTGAGATGCAATAAATAATAATAATAAAGCTTAAATAAATAAATAAGCTTCAATCAATGAGTAAGTCCATCCAAATAAAATGCAAGGTGTCGCATATTTTCTTAAGTTTCCTTAATTAAACGGGTTTTGTTTTGTGTAACATATAACCTTTCTTTTAAAATATTCCCTTAGGTTTTAAGTGGAGTATTATGCATCGTTGACTTTGCGATTGAAACGTTTCCTGCACATTTCGCCCCACGTGACAGATTTTATTTCATGAATTGTATTTGTCCCAGGATGCTGTTCCATTATTTAGACCAGAAGCGGAAGGAAAGTTCTGGGTCTCAGCTTCATGCTACTTACCTTGTGTCTGGAAAAGTTGCAGCAAATGGCAGCATGGTAAGAAACACATTATGCAGAAAGATGACTTTAACTTTAGCTGCACTGTCCCTTTTGTTTTCTTTAGTGTTTAAGGCATATTTTAATTGTCCATGGAAGAAAGTCATCCATTCATCCATGAGGCTGGAACCAATTCTAGGAAGCACTGGAACTCCCTCTAGATCAGTGCTTCTCAAGCCAGTCCTCGGGGAATCCCAGACGGTCCATGTTTTTGCTCCCTCCCAACTCTCTCAACTTGTGAGAGAGCAAAAACATGAACCGTCTAGGGGTCCCTGATGACTGTTTTTGAGAAACACTGCTCTAGATCAGGGTGGTGAACCTGATCCATGGAGAGCCGCTGTGGGTGCAGATTTTTGGGATGACCTCTCAATCAGCCAGTGATGAAGCAGTGGTGCTCAACTGCAGTCCTGGGCATCCAGTGTTATTGGCTGACTGAGAGGTCATCCCAAAAACCCGCACCCACATTGGCCCTCCACGGATCTGGTTCCTTACCCCTGCTCTCGATACTTTCCGTCGATCAGGGCTGTTTTAGAGGCACCAATTCCTCTAAATGTGAAATACACTTAAATGCAGGAAACTATGATGAGTTCTTCCTCGATTATATTGCGTTATTTGAAAAAAAGACAAAAGGCAGGCTACAAATAAGTAAAATACAGTAAGACGAGAAAATAAAAAATGAAATGGAAAAATAAACATGGCAATTACAATGTTTCATTTTAGTTCTATTAAAATATTCATGAATTTAGTGGCGTATTTGGTTCAATAAATATGACTATTGTTTTATGACTTTTACTATCAAAAAGAATAAACATATAATAAGTTAACTTCTTTTTGGCCAAACCATAATAATAATGTTTAGGTAGCAGTGTTGAATAACGAGAACTGTATTTTGTATGCCAAATGTAAGGTAGAGACACTGAAGTACAGCCTGAGACTTAAGCTGGGTTTTCCTATCATGTCCCTCTCATGTCATTCTTTTTTAGAGTCACAAGGTGGCAGTAGTACGCGAAGATCAGCTTGAAGGTTAGTCTGGGTCCCCCCCCCCACTTTTTGCTTTAAGTTATTCCTAATCACTACCAACTGAATCAACAAAAATAAAAAAGACTGTGTGAATGGATTAATGAACCTGGGAGATTGTATAAACCTCCGCCTGCCATTAGTCAGATATAAAGTAGCATAAGATCATAATCTGTAATTATTGCAGACATCTTCACTTCCAAAATTTTTTCTTTCCCAGTGCTGCATCTGCTTGAAGTTCCAGAGTATTCTTCAGAATTATAGTGGCACATTAATTATATAATCATTTCAGTTTAACTGGAAATATCTGCAGCAGCGGGGAAGCGATCAGGACCATGCGTGGGTCGCAGTGACGTAAACGCATAATCTGAGGCTCTGAAATCTTTTTCAGATGTGAAGTCGAAGATGGACATAACCGTCAGTATCCATGTGTACAGCATTCAGAAGGCTGTGCTGAAAGACAGTGGGCCACTTTACAGCACTGATTATGACGCGGTGAAAGAGAACCTAAAGAACTGCTGCAAGTACGTCCTGATGGCATGCTGTAAACTCACTGTGCTCCAGCGATGAGTAATTCATCTTTCAGCATCCAGATCTTTATCCTCCAGCTTCAGATACTGAGCTCTGCTGTTCTGTAGATTTAACTTTTTCGTTTCCCAGAATGCAATGGGGACTATTATCATAATTTACTCTTCAAGTTAATATTTTATTAATCAAGTTAGACAAAACCTGGATTCCCCAGTGATTCTTAAGTACGCAGATTGCCAGCCTTCATCTCCAGCCCTGGGCAGGCAGTGACCCCGACATGGCGCGATGCCGGACAGGAGGCTTATCGGTGTACCTCTCCCCCGGCAGGTACAGCGCCATCCGATGTGCCGGCGCAGACCCCCTCCCCTCGGACGTGCCGCGGCAGAGTCAGGAAATAGCACCTGTAGCACCCCTGGAAATGGAGGCTAAGAAATCGGTGGTAAACGGTGGTACTGCTGCAGCCAATAAAGGAGCTGCGAAGCAGCAGAAGGGGATTATGGGAATGTTTAACAAGAGCACTTCCAAGACACCAGAATCAAGTAAGGAAGTTAAAATGGAGGAGAACGAGGACACTGCTACAGTAAGTTTGTGTTTAAGGATTAATTTCCAGGTAGTAGTAGTAGTAGTAGTAATAATAATCACCCTGGTAATACTTATAAATCCAAGTATAAATACCAAATACTAATACAGCTCTTTCATAAATAAGACATGTGACCTGTCCTGGCACGATATGTGTGTTTTAAATGCTCTGTTGAAGCTGCAAGTATTGTGATTTCCTTTGAATACAAATGGAATCACATGGTCAGGAATGAAATCAGCGTGTCTTTGCTGCACTGATGCTTATTTGATATTTTTGCTTTTTCTGTTTGTGGCAGGAAACGACGAAAAGTAAACCTGCCCTCAAGGTGCATAACTTTTTTGGGAAACCGGCAACTAGTAAGTGTCCAGCTGTTACGACATGAGATCACTTTTTAGGTTTCAAAACGGTAACCGAAGCAGTAATCACTCATCCGGTATGGGGTCTTGTGGGGTCTGCAGCATATGCAAGACATCATAGGGCACACAACTGGCGCCCCCTATGTGCGGCACGCCAGTCCATCACAGGGAGAGGCAGTGTGCTGTCCTGTATTAATTTTTTTTTCCCTCCCTTTCTCCAATATTAGTAGTGAAACATGCATATTATATTTTGTTGCAAAGGTAAAGCAGGAACCTCCAGTGAAAAATCCAGGAAGACCATAAAAGAGGAGGCTGTGGGGTCTCAGACGTCCCATCTAGCAGTGGAGGAACCTTCCACGTCTCCCCTTACGGCTGAGATCAAGGAGGAAGAAGCAAAGAGCTCGAACGCAGCAGGGAAAAAACATAACGAGGGGAAGAGGTTTGTGAAAATTCATCCATCTTACACAGATGCCACTCTCCTAGTTCAGTGTGGTGGTAGTTTAAAGAAACATCGATCACATCAGTAGGAAAATTCCTTGTTTTTAAGCAATAAGATGAAGCGTCTTGAACAGTGTGACAGCGACGATGAGAAATTTGAGAGTCGAAAGAAAAAACGACGGAGGATCAAGAAACCACAGCTGAGCAGCAGCGATGACGAAGGTGAAATGGAGCCTGAAGTGTGATCAGACTTTTCATTCCAGGAACTTACTGACAGGATCTCATTCACGGATTGGATGTTTCAAAGAACAAAATGACTAATTTTATCTAGGCATGTAAATTATGAACTTTGCCATGATTCAATTTCAGTTTTACCATGCGGCGATTTGATATCTGGCAATATGTGAAATGTCACTGCGATTCAGTAATACATGATCAATATTTTCAACACAGTGAAGCACAAGCTGATTTTACTGGATTTTATTTGAATTCAAAAATGCACGACAAATGTTTTCATTTTCACAACAGAATATG